TTCCGCTTTCAAATTGGGGTTTTAGCTCGCCAGAAAGAGCCGAGGGAAAATTTTGATTCCGAGCTTGATTGGATCAATGTGGGCTCCCGAAAATGGAAAACGAGGTTTGGGTTGGTTTAGTGTTTAGTTTAGTGGTTAAACATTAACTTTTTATCTCTCTTTGAGTTTGGTTTAAAATTGTGGGATATTTTAGGCTCTACGTGATGCTAACGCTTTCTGCGGTGTTTATTGGTAAAAATAATAATTACACCGGGAAAGATAAAGACTTAAAATTAATAAGTAAGAATAACTTCAAAATCTTCAAGTAACTTAATTTTCTATATGCTCATGACTTTTTTCATACGAATAGGAGGCGTTTTAAAACTTTTTGGGAAATATTTGTCAATTTTCCTCCCATTTTTCACGTTTGATTGAAGAGTGGTAACAAAAATTACCTTAAATTGATAATAATCTGCGAAAATACTTTATTTTTCGATTTTTCAGGTTGTTGATTTTTCAATTTTTCGATTTTTTAATTTTAGATTTTTCCACTTCGATTTTTCCAGTTGTCGATTTTTCGATTTTTCAGTTTTTTGATTTTTCAAATTTCCAATGTTTCAGGTTTGAGATTTTTCAATTTTCGATTCTTCAGTTTTACTTCCAATTTCAATTTTTCCGTGATTTTTCAATATGTATATATTTCGATTTTTTGACTTTTCTATTTTTAATCAGTTTTTTCAATTTCTCAATTTCCCGATTTTTCGAATTTTCGACTTCTTGATTTTAAATTTCTCAATCCGGTAATTTTTCGATTTGATTTGTAGAAATTTCGTACCTTCGATTTTTTGATTGCTCAATTTTTTTAATATCAGTTTTTAACTTTACGATTTTTCAGTTTAATCGATTTTTCAACTTCTCTCGACTTTTCGATTCTTTTATTTCTGGATCTTTTAATGTTTAGATTTCTCGATGGTTCCGTTTTTGAATTTTTCGAAGTTTCAGTTTTTCGATTTTTTATTTTAAACTCTGGATTTTTGATTTCTCGATTTCTCCGTTTTTAGATTTTTCGACTTCGATTTTCTGACTTTTCGGTTTTTAAATTTTAGATTTTTGAATTTTTCGATTTTTTAATGGTTCGATTTCTAGATTTTTCAATTTTTCGATTCTATAAGTTTTCGATATTTTAATTTTTGAGTTCTTTAATTTTGATTTTACAGTTTTCGGATTTTTCAGATTTTTGATTTTTTGAATTTCACATTTTTCAATTTTTCTATAGTTCAATTTTGTGATTTTTCAATATTTCGATTTTTTGACTTTTCGATTATTCTATTTTTATACATACGAGTATTTCTAAATTTTGATTTTTCAATTTCCCAATCTTTCGAATTTTCGACTTCTTGGTTTAAATTTCTCAGTTGGGTTATTTAGTTTTTCGATTTCTTGATTTGCCGAGATTTCCTTTCTTCGATTTTTTTGTTGTTCAATTTCTTTAATCATAAATTTCTCAATTTTTCAGTTTTTAACTTTTCGATTTTTCGATTATGGCCTATTTCAATTTTTCAGTTTAATCGATTTTATAACTTCTCGACTTTTCGATTCTTTTATTTCTCGATCTTTTAATGTTTCGATTTCTCAATAGTTCAGTTTTTGAATTTTTCGAAGTTTCAGTTTTTCGATTTTTTAAACTCTGGATTTTCGATTTTTCGTTTTCTCGGTTTTTAGATTTTTCGACTTCGATTTTCTGAATTTTCAATTTTTTGATTTTTTGAATTTTACATTTTTCAATTTTTCTATAGTTCACTTTTGTGATTTTTCAATATTTCGATTTTTTTGACTTTTTGATGTTTGATATCTCAATTTTAATTTTTGTTTTTCAATTTCTCAATTTCCCGATCTTTCGATTTTCGACTTTTTGGTTTTAGATTTCTCAGTTCAGATTTTTAATTTTTCGATTTCTTGATTTGTCGAAATTTCGTATATTCGATTTTTTTATTGTTCAATTTCTTTAATTTTAAATTTCTCAATTTTTCAGTTTTTAACTTTTCGATTTTTCGAATTTGGCCTATTTAGATTTTCCAGTTTAATCGATTTATCAACTTCTCGACTTTTCGATTCTTTTATTCCTCGATCTTTTAATGTTTCGATTTCTGGATGGTTCAGTTTTTGAATTTTTCAAAGTTTCAGTTTTTCGATTTTTTAAACTCTGGATTTTCGATTTCTCGATGTCTCCGTTTTTAGATTTTTCGACTTTGATTTTTTGACTTTTCGATTTTTAAATTGTAGATTTTTAAATTTTAGATTTTTATTTTTTCAATTCTAATTTTTCAAAATTTTAATTTTTCAGTTCTTTATTTTTGTTTTTTCAATTTTCTGATTTTTCAATTTTTGATTCTTCAATTTTTCTTCCATTTTTCAATTTTTCTATAGTTCAATTTTGTGATTTTTCAATATTTCGAATTTTTGACTTTTTTATGTTTGATATCTCAATTTATTTTAATTTTTCGATTATTCAATTTCTATATTTTTAAATTTTTTATTTTTCATTTTCTCAACTTCCCGATCTTTCGAATTTTCGACTTTTTGGTTTTAGATTTCTCAGTTCTCGATGGTTCAGTTTTTGAATTTTTCGAAGTTTCAGATTTTCGATTTTTTAAACTCTGGATTTTCGATTTTTCGTTTTCTCGGTTTTTAGATTTTTCGACTTCGATTTTTTGACTTTTCGATTTTTAAATTTTAGATTTCTGAATTTTTCGATTTTTTGCTTTTTCAATTTCTAAATTTGTCAGTTTTTCGACTCTAATTTTTCGAAATTTTAATTCATCAGTTTTCTGAATTTTCAATTTTTTGATTTTTTGAATTTTACATTTTTCAATTTTTCTGTAGTTCACTTTTGCGATTTTTCAATATTTCGATTTTTTTTACTTTTTGATGTTTGATATCTCAATTTTAATTTTTGATTTTTCAATTTCTCAATTTCCCGATCTTTCGAATTTTCGACTTTTTGGTTTTAGATTTCTCAGTTCGGATTTTTAATTTTTCGATTTCTTGATTTGTCGAAATTTCGTATATTCGATTTTTTTATTATTCAATTTCTTTAATTTTAAATTTCTCAATTTTTCAGTTTTTAACTTTTCGATTTTTCGAATTTGGCCTATTTCGATTTTCCAGTTTAATCGATTTATCAACTTCTCAACTTTTCGATTCTTTTATTCCTCGATCTTTTAATGTTTCGATTTCTGGATGGTTCAGTTTTTGAATTTTTCAAAGTTTCATTTTTCGATTTTTTAAACCCTGGATTTTCAATTTCTCGATGTCTCCGTTTTTAGATTTTTCGACTTTGATTTTTTGACTTTTCGATTTTTAAATTGTAGATTTTTAAATTTTAGATTTTTATTTTTTCAATTCTAATTTTTCAAAATTTTAATTTTTCAGTTCTTTATTTTTATTTTTTTCAATTTTCTGATTTTTCAATTTTTGATTCTTCAATTTTTCTTCCATTTTTCAATTTTTCTATAGTTCAATTTTGTGATTTTTCAATATTTCGATTTTTTGACTTTTTTATGTTTGATATCTCAATTTTTTAATTTTTCGATTATTCAATTTCTATATTTTTAAATTTTTTATTTTTCATTTTCTCAATTTCCCGATCTTTCGAATTTTCGACTTTTTGGTTTTAGATTTCTCAGTTCTCGATGGTTCAGTTTTTGAATTTTTCGAAGTTTCAGATTTTCGATTTTTTAAGCTCTGGGTTTTTGATGTCTCGATTTCTCCGTTTTCTTTTTTTTGACTTTTCGAGTTTTAAATATAGGATTTTTGAATTTTCGATTTTTTGATGTTTCGATTTCTAGATTTTTCTATTTGCCGATTCTTTAATTTTGGATTTTTTAGTTTTCCCGATTTTTCATTTTTTTTATTTTTTGAATTTTACATTTTTATAGAAAACATCCATCCAGTGAATCTCTGAGGATCCTAAATTAATTCTCAAATCGCATCATTTATCACAGATTCAAGATCTTTATCACGAAGAATCTTCGAGCATTTTGGTGTTTGTAAATGACATTACAAGGATACAATTTTATTAGCATACAAAATGTGTCTGACGGTGTTAAAAAGCAAATCTGTAAATTTTTATTAGTTTTGGAGCAAAATCTCACGTGCGCCTCACATTGTAATCCTGATAGAAAAATTGACACTTACAGACTATTTTGAACTTTTCAGACAGCACGATATAAAAAAAAAACCAACGCATCGGGGATGCAATTTCGCAAAGGCCACAAACCAGGTTTTGCCTCCTGAGGTATTAGTCCAATTCCCGGCGCCTTTGTATTCGCATCCTGCGAGTTCTCGGCAGTTCATTACAATATTCACGTCCCGGATCCAATAAGAGCAGCTTACACGTAAACTCTTCTTGTCTGACATGGGGCTTTAAGCCTACTTAACCGTTTGTTGGCGAAGTGAGCGTGTGAGAGCTTTGCCGTATGTGTAATAGTTAATTTGAAACTTCACTTGCTCCATCTCGATCCCCTTACATGCATTATGCAAACTTACTAGTAAGCCCCATTATAAATTCTGAAAATGTTAGAATATCATTCATGCCGTAAATTGAAAACTTTCAGCACAAAGCCTTTATTATTCAGAATGTTTATCTGTTGGCTGCAGGGGAATTAAATTTCGAACGAATTAAATAAATTCGTCCGGACAGGGAGGAAGAAAAAAAACAAGTCGGCATGGGGTCGGGAAAGAAGGTAATTTTGCCACCATATGAAGTATCGATTTTGGATTTTCCAGGCTCGACTGGATGTGCTTTTGGGTGGAGGATTAGTCCTGCGGGCGCAGGAGATAAGCTTATGAATGCAAAGCTCCGATGGAAAGTGAACACTCGTACAGTTCAACTTGGTACATTGTTGGGAGAAATTTATGGGGGATTTGGAGGAGCAGCGCCGGGTTTGTACTAGGTGCACAGCGATAAATTGTTATTAATGGATTTCTGAAAAAAAAATTGTGCGTAATGAAAACCTCTAGAAATTCAGTGGGTCTTTATTCAGTCATTGTCAAAATTCAGCACTTAATCTTCCTCCTCACCGAGCAGCTCCGGCCTGCTGTTCTTCCAATCCTTCCTCTTCTCCCGCTCCACCTTCAGCCGCTTCAAATCATCGTCAGTCTTGTCCTTGAATTCTCGATTCTTCTTCTCGGCGTCTTGTTCATTTAAAATCACGATCGAATTTTTCCCGGAAGCTTCCGGAAAACACCGATAAACCACTAACGGTTTTCTAAACACGAACATAATTTTACTTGTCAAATATTCTCAACTGTCATTTCCAAACGTCACCTTGACTAAAGGTACTCGTGTCCCGCTGGGTCCCTCTGATGGTGGTGTGAGTAGTGTTTGTCGTTATGGCCATTATGATCGTCGTGGTGGTCATCGCGGTCATCGTGGTGGTCATGCTGCACCACATCCCCGTGATGATCATCGTCTTTTCGTTGATGGAGATTCTTCTTTCGCTTCATGAGTGCTAGTTTCAGTTTCTTCAAGTCGTCTGCGGTTTTTTTGCGGAAATATTCGTTTTCCTTCTGGGCTTCCTGGGCCGTGAATCGATTCTGGGGATGCTCGAAGGAGGAACCCTGACCACTGCTCGCGTCGCCGAAGTAGGATGGGGTTTTGAAGACTAATCGAATGGTTTTTAAGACGGAAGTTTGGACCCACTTGATGGACATAACTGGTTGATTTGGGGGGTGAAAGCCAATTTCAAGCCAATCCCTGAGAAATTGGCTTGAAATTGGTTCGTGACAAAAAATATGACACGTGTCACAGGATGGTTTGGATTGACATTTGACATATTATAGTTCTGGAAATTTCACTGTACCGTAAAAAATGTTATTGACAATAACGAGACGGACGGTGGTTCTATGGTAAGAAATATTTGTGGTTCACACCAATTCACCCGAATTTATCGGAGAACATTGAGCAGTTATTTATACTCATAAAATAATGGTCATTTTCGTTCGGACCTGGATTACTCTGCTTTCTAACATCTGGGGATTACCGGCACGCGACAACTTTAAGTTGTAAATATCTCTTGCAACTGTCCGTCTCGTTATTGCCAATAAAATTTTATAAGGTAGAATGAAATTTCCAAAACTGTATACGTACATATATATTGTGGGTGGCAGTTGGAACAAAAATATATTTCTGTCTTTTTCTATTATTTCCTGAGCGTAACCTAAGGAATTATACTAATCAGTCCATGCGGCGATTTGCCACTTTAATGTTTTCTTTACGTTTCATGACCTCTAGAATACAAAAACGTGGTCTTCCGTTTCCACCTGTTTGGTTAATCAACCCCACTATCGTGATGGCGATTTCAGATTTTTAACTGGCGGAAGATTATCTACAATTTTATACCAACTCTCAGTCGATTGAGCCAATTTTTTTCCATTTTTTTTTTTAAATATTTGAAAATTTTGAATTCACTTTTGGTGTTTATTGGAACAGATATCATGACGATGATTTCAGAAGTGTAACTAGTGGAAGATTATCTACAATTTGACATCAATTTTCGATCGATTAAACCAATTTTAACCATTTTTTTTGGAAAATTTTTGAAAATTTTGGACTCGCTTTTCGTGTTTATTGGAGCAAGTATCGTGACGGCGATTTTAAATTTGTAACTAGCGGGAGATTATCTACAATTTGACATCAATTTTCGATCGATTAAACCAATTTTAACCATTTTTTTTGGAAAATTTTTGAAAATTTTGGACTCGCTTTTCGTGTTTATTGGAGCAAGTATCGTGACGGCGATTTTAAATTTGTAACTAGCGAGAGATTATCTACAATATGACACCAATTTTCGGTCGATTGAACCAATTTTAACCATGTTTTTGGAAAATTTTTTAAAACTTTGAACTCACTTTTCGTGTTTATTGGAACAGATATCGTGATGGCGATTTCAGATTTCTAACTGGCCGAAAATTATTAGCAATTTTCAACCAATATTCCTTCGATTGAACAAATTTTTACCATTTTTTTGGAAAATTTTTGAAAGCTTTGAATTCAATTTTCGTGTTTATTGGAACAGATATCGTGACAACGATTTCAGATTTGTAACTGGCGGAAAATTATCAACAATTCGCCACAAATTTTCAGTCGATTGAACCAGTTTTAACCAATTCTTTGAAAAATTTTTGAAAATTTTGGAACCATTGATTTAAAATGAAAACCAAAAACCAAAAATTGAGAAAATATGTGAAACTGAAAAATCTAAAAGTTGAGAACTCCAAAAATTGAAAACCGAAAACCTGAAAAATACAAAAATTGAAAAATTTCATGCACAAGAAAGGACTTACTGCTGGTGTAAAAAGAACGCTAATACAGACTTCCAACCAAGTCTACCACTAGTTTCTTTGTGAAAAATTTCACACTGAATTGAAAGATTCTAGCATCATAAAATTGAAACCGTGTAAAATTAAAGACCATTGAAAAACCGATAAATTAAAAAAAATAATAATAAAAACGGAAACGAAAAATTGCAATTCGGAAAACTGAAGACCTGAAAAATTGAAAAAATTGGACGTTCGACCAATTTCTTACGTTTATTTTCACAGTAGATATTTTTTTGCTATTTGGTTGGCGGGTGTCAAGATGATGACGTTGACGTAGCATCCATGGAATGAATCATCATAAACAAGTGTTGCATTTTGGTATGTACTTTATTTATCAAAATGCTGCTTTAACATACTTTCGAAGGTTAAAGAAAAATTAATAAGATCACGGGGATGTTCAATTTGCCTTAATTTTCGTAAACTAGACTGAAAAGCTTGCAGATTTATTTATTTTGACTTTGACATTAGCATCGACAGCTTGTCTCATCAAAAATTCCATTCATTTTTTTTTGAGATCTTAGTCTCGGTAAACATTTTTCTGAGCGTAAAAAATCCGTCTGTTTCAGAAATCTGTCCCAAACTCCCATACCGGCGTTTTGTTAATCCTCGTCGTTCCGCTTATTCGCAGTACCCATTTCCCAGCCCACCCCGCAGCCAGCGCAAAGTTTAGTTTTGCATTTCCTGATGAAACCATTCCAGTACGTGACTCAATAAAGCCCAGAAGTCATCTATTTTGCCTGGCAGTGTGTGTAAAGTGCGTAATTAAAATTATTGCTCTAATAAAACCAGACTTAATCCATAACGCGGCCCATAAACTCCTGGCAAGCGCAAGGTAAACCGAGCGGGTTCATTAGTCAATTAAATTGCTAGATTCCTGAGAGGTTTAATCCGTTTTATGTTTTCATTGCGAATATCGGCGGAGAGATAAGTCGTTAAAGTATTCATGGAGTGCCAGTTTAGGGCCTTTTTCTGTCCACGTTTTTTCGAATGCTATGATTTACGAGCGAGCTGTCGACGAGTTTAGGGTTCCTCTCTTTATAACGGGAATTAAAGCATTCGTCTACAGGGCGCTGTTTGTTTTTTAAACGGAGCCTATTCGTACGTTTGTGGTTTATCTACGATTAGAATTAATCACGACGCTGTCAAAAATAATTTACTCGGGCAGTTGAAGCGGCCGCACTCAAATTCAATTTAAAATAATCTCGGACGGATCTGTAAGCAATCACGCAGTACAGGGCGTTCATGTTTATAAAACAGATGCTGAGATAAACCCTTCGTTGCAGTTTCGAGTTGGATTAGGGAGTGGGTTAGTTATACATCACACGTTATTAGCTGTCCGAATTACACAAACTCCGTATCAGGTGACACAATTTAATCGACAATTTTGAAAATTACACTTTCACTTTTTCTCAGTTTCGTTGTCTTTGACTTCATCGCCTTGATTTTTGCTTTTGGTGCCACCCTCTCTGCGCTTTTCCAGCTCCTTTTTCAATCTCTTTAAATCTTCAGCGGTTTGCTTGCGAAAGTACATGTTTTCCATTGCTGCTTGACGCTCTGAAAATATGTTGTCTGGGTCGACGACGGTACCATGACCGGTACCAACATCTCCATATTCCCACGGCTTGGATTTCCAATGGATACGAGAATTTTTCAGGAGTCGTAGCCAGTTTGGCATTCCTTTTCCTCAATTCTGCTTCATAATGAAGTGAAGTTTGCGTGACAGCATGGCAGATGAGGCGACCGACGTACTTGACAACGAATGACAGCGAACGACTTTTTATTTAAATTTGCCGACAAAATAATATTGCTCGATGTCTCGGTTAGTGGGGCTAATTGGCGCAGTCGTGCGGATTGCTGTGAAATAGTTGAAAGTACATCTCGCGACCTAATCGCTTTAATCAATTATCTGTCAATGGCAGAAGTCCCGCCAAATTGGTAGGGCTTTGCCGAGATCAAAGTCGGCTAGATGCTTGTTGATCTACGATTCATCCAGACTCGCCCAAGGACTATCTACTCAAATAGAAAATTAAAAGACGGGACGAACGAACAAAGCAAAGAAAGCTTGTTATTTCAGTTTCCAATTACTTTGTCGGGTCATATTTGTACGGCATGATCCGTCTGGAAAAGAAACGGAAAAGCGGTTTGTGGACTTTTAGGACTAGGTATTTAGAAAATATTTTCACAACATCGGTCGTATCTTTGAAAAATTTAAATTACTTTCTCCGGGTGTTCCAGTTCCACAAACTAGGAATGTATTTCCAACAACAATCATCAAAACCTTTTTTTTCAATTTTTCGAATTTTAATTTTTCGATTTTTCAGTTTTTCTTTTGAAATTTTTTATTTTTGTCCTCAGGGGTTTCATCGCTATCGCACAAAGGTTACTAATATGTGGCAAATTGGCTGCCGTGCACCCAGAGGTAAATATCGACCCGACCACGAACATGTTATTCCAGGAACTTAATTTCCGAGGCAATTTGTTTACAAATCGGTCAACGATTGCTTAATGATATTAAGTCAATAGTAATAGCCTGCAGAGGTAATATTTCACCAGAGACAGTATTTTATGGTTATCGATAATTAATAACCCGCCAGAATCGAACCGAGTTCCTTAATATCCCGCATTCTCTCGTGGAATTATCCGAGATAAATAAGTTTGTTTTGTAATTCCTCATATTTACATGGCACTTAATTATTTTGAGATAACGGTTGCCTCTAAGCGAAAAAACTAAATAGCTTCTGTTGGAATAAAATAATCGAAATCCAAATAAGCAAATAATTTATCGGTTCGTGCACCTTAAGCAACACTGATGACTCACTCTGTACATGCTGGGTTATTTTATTGCGCTGTTAAATTATAAATTTCATTTATTTATTAGCACTGTCGACTGTATGGTTTTTCAATTTTCGGTTTATTACGTTATCGTTAATGCTAGTTTGGCCAGGGTATAATTCCAGTTTTAGCTGTTAAAAGTACGTTCAGCCGTTGGTTATTTTTGTTGGGGTTTAATTACTTCATATGAAAGCTTCATGTTGATGTTTTAATTAAACCGTTATTAGTCTCGCTTATGGTGGAAAAATTAACGAAATATTAACAAATGGTGCAGCTTAAAAAGAGCTTTAATTTTTATCAACGTGTATAGTTTTCACATTTGCATTAATGCACATTCAATATTAATTATCTGGTGCATTCAAAATCGGCCTAGTCCGTTTTAATGTTATTACAAGCCACATTTTTCCGATTTTTGATTTGCTTGGTAGGTATGCCGCATTTTGAACCCACTACACTTAAAGTGCACCGAATTTTTTCGAGTTTTGTTGTTCTGCGGCGATTTTGTCCGCTATCACGGCCCATTCCAGCAGGCAACAAAGCCATTATCCTAGCACCAACTCATTGTCTGACCAGAACGAATCACATTTCCAATAAA